GTTTTATCTTGCAGAGACTCATTCACTTAGTATTTGCTTTCAAGCCTAAGCTACTGTCAGACTGACATTTCTTCTCCAGTTTGCCCTTAGGATAGTCTGTTGGCCATCAAATTGCTTTGAGATGTTGTCTGTGCTAGCCAAATGAGGTGGAGAGGCAATTATCCTAAAGCTCAGACCTCAAATCCCAGCCCAAATGCGAGTTTTGACCTGAGCTATCCCGGACCATCACTGCATACGGAGTCTGAGGGCGGCTCGCGGTAGGACCACCTTCTCCCCTTTAGCTTCTGTTCATCCCACGCACACCAGTGATGCCTGTCAGTGGCCAGGTGCTAGGCCTGGGCCGACAGAGAGGATATATGCTCACCTGCTGGGTTTCCTCTTCCTACATCCGTTCACTAGCTCTGCAGATAACTGGGCATCTCATAATGGGATTCCATTCTGACGCTAAGTATCGGAGTTAGCACAAACCCCACAGGAGTCGTGGGTCCAAGGGTGTCCGCGCTTCTGCCCAACTTCCTGTAAAGTGGGGGGTTCCCATGAACACCCTGCTCCTTCAGATTTGGTAATTTGCTAGAATAGCTCATAGCACTCAGGAAAGCAACTCTCTTACATTTACTGATTTATTTTTTTATTTTTTTAAAAGATTTATTTATTTGAGAGAGAGAGAGAGAGAAAGAGAGAGAGAGCATGAGTGGGAGGAACAGAGGGAGAAGGACAAGCAGACATGTCGCTGAGTGTGGAGCCCGGTGGGGGACTTGATCTCATGACCCTGAGATCATGACCTGAGTTGAAACCAAAAGTTAGACGCTTAACTAACTGCACCACCCAGGCGCCCCATTTACTGATTTATTATAAAGGAAACAAGTGAACAGCCAGAGGGAGGAGCTGGGTAGGACAAGGCACGGGGTGTGGGTGGAGGACACAGAACTTTGCGGTCCTCCCCAGGGCATGGCTCCATCCCAGCACATTGATGTGCTCAGCAAACACCGTCCTTCACCACATAGGTATGATTGATTAAATCGTTGGCCGTTGGTCATTAACTCAATCTCAGTCCTTCCCTCTCCCCCTGATTCCCCAGAGACTGGAGGTAGGGCTCAGAGTCCCACCCTCAAATCGACTTGGTTTTCCTGGCAACCAGCCCCCATCCTGCAGCTCCCCAGGGGCCCCCAGTCACATTGGCCCTACAAGAGCAATTCTTACCCCTCCAGGGATTCCAAGGGTTTTAGCTGCTGTATGCCCGGAACCAGGGATGAAAAGCAAATATTTGTTTTTTTATTAGACGGCCCCCTTGAGTGCTTGGAGTCCTGGAGATTAATGCTGTGCTGAAGTGGGGCCAGGGGGAGGGGTGGAGGGCGCACAGATGAGGGACATGCTGACGGAGCAGGGTCTAGGGAAGGGTCTCAGAGCAGGTGGGTCTGATCTGAGCCAGCTGGAAGAGGGACCGGAGGGAAGGGCCACGGGGGCCCATCTGAGGGGCTTCCTCATTAAACCCCATCATTTGTTCTCTCAAACCAGGGTGAAGAAGAGGACAGACCTGATAGGAGCCTTTAAACTGGACCCTCTCTACCTGAAGCACGGCCATCAGGATTCAGGTATGCCAGGGTCCTTGCTTTCTGCAATGTTCTGGTTTTGTTTTCATCAGAGCTGCACTTCTGCTGGGAGCCAGAGAGGCAGGTTCGCGTCCACAGGGACCAGCTCCTGGGAGCCGCTTCCCCGGGGGGGAAGGGTGCTGATGGGGCCTTGGGGACTGCCTCAGTGCAGGAGCCGGGGAAGGGCCCACGGGGCTGGGGGGGTCACGGCACAGCTTTCAGGGCGGGTGTGGACATGTCCTGTGTAGGACCTTTAAAAGCTTGACTGCCCTACTGTCTCTCTGAGTGTGCATCCGCTCACACCAATACCACCAGGGGGACACGGAGTGGGGCTGGGGGCCCGGGGAGCAAAGCGAAAACCCAGTGACACCCGGGCAGGATCGGCGTGTCCATGTGCATCTCACCTGTTGGGTCCATAGACCTGCCCTCTGTGCCCGTCCCTGCTGGCGGGACTGGAGCCACCCCAGGCCTGCGTTCTGGCTGTGTGCTTCTCGATGACCGGGGCCAAGAGAGGACACGGCCAGGTGCTCGAGTCCCGTGGTGAGGAGCAGAAAGTTCCCTGGCACAGAGAGATGCTGGAGCAGTTCCTAGAAAACACAGAATAGCTCATTTCGTATGGCTACTGTCCTAGGCCACAGCCAAACGCCAAATCCTGTTAGTACAGGCCAGGCTCCAAGCGGGTGGCGAGGGGGCGGAAATGTAGATTCTTCTGAGATTCTTTTTTTTTTTCTTAAGATTTTATTTATTTATTTGAGAGAGAGAGCAAACACAAGCACGGAGGAAGGGCAGTGGGAGAGGGAGAAACAGGCTCCCCACTGAGCAAGGTGCCCGACGTGGGGCTCGATCCCAGGACCCTGAGATCACGACCTGAGCTAAAGCCAGATGCTTAACCAACTGAGCCACCCAGGCGCCCCTCTGAGATTCTTACCAAAGAAATAGGAATCAGATATTTAGAAGAATGATCCCAGCAATCCAATTTTTTTTTCTTTTGAAAAGCATGCAATGAAAATTTTCCAAATGTGAATAGTCCTTACAGCTGGATGGTGCAATTATTTGTGAATTTTCTTAATTTGCTCTATATTTTTACAGTTTTAAAAACATACTTAGAACTATGTAAGTGTTGTTGTTCTCAGGTATGGTGCAGACACGTGTCCCCGTTGATGTTCGCAGACCCCACACACCGGCTCAGATTTGCTCAGGACCTAAAACTGCCCTAAAAAAATAAAGTCTACTTTGGAAAAAAGGAATTGGCATGAAACACTGTGAAATTCTGAAGTGACTGCCAAGCTCTCCTATTACAAAAAAAAATGTATTTCATGTTTAGATAATAAAAATCTTTGCAATCACGACAGTTAAAACGCAAAATGTTGCCCTTAAACAATGAAGGGATTCTTGGAATGTGTGTAAGCGAAGGGCACCTGAGGGCTTATCGCTCGAGGCATACAAAAATTTATTTTATGTTGCTTTTATAGGAAGGCAATTTCTTATTGAAATATTTGCTATGGCTTTTAGAGATGAAAAATATTAGTTATTTGTTTTTTCCCCTACAAAAAAAGAAAAAACACAAAACAAAACCCGCAAACCTCTATAAGTCAACAAAGATGGTGACCCATTTTGTGCTTCACAAGTAGATCAGCAAAAATCAACTTCAAGTTCTTATGGCCAGTGGATGTAAGGGCATTTTTTTATCCGCACGGATTCAGCCCTAGTGCCGCTAAGCCTTCTGCTCCTTGAAATGAAACCGTGTTTAGAGTGTTCTACAGGGTTTTTTTAAAGATCCTTTCTATGTAATAAAGAAGACTCCTCAACGACTGCCCCGTGGCCCCTCATGTCGTGGCACTTGGCTCGCTAGGCTGTTGCAGCCCCCTGTCGCACCTGGGGGTCATTAGGACGCCCCCTGCTCATCACTGGGTCCGGGGCAAAAGCCTCCCACTCAGTGAGGTCTTCCCAGATCTCTCCACTGAAGCCAATGCCTGACCCCATCCCGAGTCTGGCCACGAAGCCCTCTCACTCACTGGCTTCTTGTCTGTTGTCCCTCTGTCCCCCTGGAGGCTCAGACCCATCGTCCTGCTGCTGGAACACCACTGGACCCAGGGGATGGCGGCCAGCAGCTGCAGTGGGGGCAGCAATGTGGGAGAGGTCGCCGTCCCAATACGTCCCTGCGTTTGCCTTGCACTTTTATGCGTTTGTCTCCTTGGACACCTATCAGCTGGGGGGAGACAAGGAACCGGGACCCAAATAAGCGGGATTTGTGTTTTTTATATATAACAGAAAATTCTGTCTCAATGCTGGTGATAGGGAAAAGCGGCCACACCTGTTGCACAGACTTTTCCAGATAAACTCTTTCATTATAAAAACTGTACCTTTGGAAACAAGAAGCAGGAAGGGTGAGTCAGGAAGTCCCCATGAGCCCACCTCCCGAGTGCAGGTGCTTCCGCCCCATGGTGGTGTTTCTTGCCAGTCCTGTCTGATGCGTTGTTTGTTTCTATTGTGTTTACTGCATGCTGTTTGCATGGAGGAGCTGCTCACCCCACATACCTCGTATGTAGTTGTAAAGACCGCCTAGGCACATAACACTTATTAAGAAGTCTGCACCGTAAGTTCAACTGTGGTCGTAGCAAGCTGTTGGCAGGAGGGCTTGGGCATTCCTTGTGTTCACAGCAGACCCGTGTCCGCGAAGTTCCTAACTGGACCGGGCCTTCAGCTGGTCCTTGAGGACGTAGGGTCACCGAGAAGCAGGCTCCACCTTTCACTAACCGTGATGTTTAGCCACAGAAGCTTCTACATCTGAAACCTACTTCAAGCTTTAGTCATGCACCCGGTAAAACTTGCACAATGAAGGAAAGGTTCTCTAATTCTGCGCCCTCTGTGTGGTAGCCCACTAGCTCCACGTGGCTCCTGAGCACTGGAAATGTGGCTAGTCTGACCGAAGAGCTCCGTGTTTAAGTTGATTTCATCTTAATTGAATGTAAATGGCCACACATGGCTCATGGCTACGGGCATGGCACAGGGATGTGAACTAAACAGGAGGGTCATTTATTCATATTCACTCACGACGTCATCTGCGTTTTTAACAGACTCTTGCTGAGTGCTCATTACATGCCACATAGGCATTTGGCATCTATGCATCCCCTCTATGCATCCCCGTCGGGTCATTTCTGGTGACCCTGCTGTTGCTGTTTGTTTAATAACTTTAGATTTCCTTGTATGTGTAAGTTAGACCCCTCTGCAGAGTGGGTGAGGAGCAGTCTGTGAGGGTGGGGGTGGATTGCATTAGGTGGACGGCTAGTCCCAGCTGCCCACGGGGCGGGCCTGCTATGGCCAGGCCACCGTTGCTCTTACTTGGGAAATGGGGGACACTGATGAGCCCCGGCGTGCCTCGTCTGGACCTACACTAGAGGACCAGATGTCCGAAACACAAGACTGCAGCTCAGGTTCATAATTCCCAGCTGATTGCTTGCCTAAGATCACCATGGAGCAACTTCCATCGGTGAGACTCTGTCCAGCGTTCTGTCCTCCATAAGATCCTTCGCTCTGTTGCTTTAGGCACAAGGCGAGACTGAAGGCAAACCAGACATGTTTTGTATCCACTATGAAGCTATTTGAATCCAGGATGGTGATATCGATCCAACGGTTCCTCACCAGTATCTGCTCCATGCCAGACTCTGGACTAAGATCCGAGAATGCAGACATGAACATCCATCAAAAGTCTGATTCTTGTCTCATGATCTCATCCCTCTGTTTATCAGAAATCCACCTTCCCATGCACGAGTCAGTGCACAATGAAGGCTTTACATGATCTGAATGCCAAGTTACTACTGGGCAATAGAAGAAAGCTTAGATTTTTGTGCTTACGGAAGCATAGAAAGTGAAGCAAATGGGAATCCACTCATAATCCAGCATTTCCAATTTGTTCTGGGCACCCTGCCCTCTGGAAAGCCCCTTGGGTCTGTTACCATGAGAAGTGCCACAGAGAACACCCATCCCGGCCCTCCGTGGTCTCACATCCAGTGCAGGAGATGACAGATGGGACACAAGAAATTTAATCTTGAAAATGAGAGAGGTGAGGCATGTAATCAACCAATGTGTCTAATGGCTTCTTTTTGTTATTTCTTTCTCTTTTCCAGGGCTTATCACTGACTATAGGGTAAGTGGGAGAATTCTCTGGCCGAGTCCAGGTCTCAGGTAATGGAAAATGTGAATGCAGTGCTGGGTGCTGTCATGGGCCGTCACTCCTGCTGTCCCCCCACCCCCACCCCCATTCTGCTCAGGCTCAGAGTCACGCTAGAGGACATGATCTCACTGGGTCCTAACTAGCAAAGCAAGCCAGGCAGCGGACAGCTCGGCTCAGCCACCCAACTCCAGGTCTAGGGTGAGGAGGAAATGATCTTGCCTGCCCCCTCGGAAGGAGGCAGGAACTTCTGTGCTCAGGTTCCTCCGTGAGGACGGGCACTATCCTTAGACCACACGGCCCCTCGGTTCTTTGCTGTTGCTAGGCTCCCGGGGTCGGCCTCCTGAGGGCAGCAGGGAGAACAGGGTCAGAGACCACAGTGGTGGTCTGATGGCCAGCCTCCTTTCTCAGCCGGGAACCGTATGCTGCGCTGAGCTTCTCACAGGTGAGCGAGGCCCCCTTCCTCCCTCCCGGACCCCCAGGCTACCGAGGGAGACAGGGCACAGATGGTCCCACACGCCAGGATCAGCCTTCTGCACACCGCTGGGAGCTGCGGTTCTGAGACAGATCTCAAACATGCCGCGCCTTTCCGATGGCTCTTTCTGGCCTGAGGGAAAATGTTCTAAGTCCTCAGCTAGTCCTCTGGTAGTTCAGCTTCTCCTTACGCCATTTCGAATACCTTGTGGTAATGAAGTCCCAGGCATTAAGTGGCGGCAGCTTATGGATTGTATGTCACGTGTGGACAGTTTTCAGTGGGTCCACCTGCTGATTTTGAACACCGTAACGGACGTCCACCTGGCTCAGGAGGTCCTCCTGGATAATTGTGCGTTCTGTGCTGCTGAGCCCCTGAACAAAGCCAGGGGAAGGCACATAGAGCGTTCTCAGCAGATATTTCAGTTAATGAATAAACAGATGAAATTTATGGAGGATCAAATTAGAGGGATGAGGGAAATTATTTTGGAGCCGAGAGTCTTCTAAAAACTGATGCACATAAGTTAGCCCTTAGGGTACCAAGAAGTAGGAGAGGTTACATGGGGCAAACACAAGGCAGTCCCACCAGGAAAGAACACGCAGGTCAGTGGGAGCCTGTGTCTGGGCTCCCGGCCTTGCAAAGGGCCTGGGGCACTAGTCTTGCACTATGAGTGTTGTTCCTTCCATCCCCTTATCACAAGCACAAGTGTCACCTGCCTCCCACCTGACCCTCTCCCTGTCCCTACAGGGCCCCTGACCAATTTTACTGCTATCCTAGCTGGGATGTCTTTCCTTTTCAATGTACTTATAGACACCTTTGGAGCTCTTTTATGGTTTCTTCCTTTAGAGTGAAATCTGGGCGAATGCCCTGGAGCCCAGGCTCTTCCTTGATGAGGGAGTGCTGGGCTCAGCAGACAAAGAAAAAGAATATCATAGACATCATCATCATTTTGTTCAAAGACATTGGAAGCCCCAGCCTGAGGTGGTCACAGCCTCCAGGCTGTGGAGGAGACCCCGGGATTCTGGGCCGTCTACCAGGCTCGTTCGGGAAGTGTGGGATGAAAGGGGTGAGCAGCCCCCTTGTCAGGACTGTCAGCCCTCAAGGGATGGGGATGAGGACAGTCTCAGCACCAAGGGGAGGGGGCTGGGAACACCTTGGCCAGGGGATTTTACACTGTGTCTGCTCATGAGCGGCATGAGCCGAAGATGGAAAGGTAGCGTCATTTGCCTACAATGTACCTGGTCTTGGGCAAAGTGGGCATCATTATAGCCATTTCACAGACATGGAGACAGAGGTTCAGAGAAGTCAAAGAATTTGCTGAACCTAGCTAAAAGAGAACCAAGAACTTAGGTCAAAAGCTCCCCGTCTGAGCCTCACAATCCCCATGCCACTTGGGTGGGGAAAGTACATTTTCTGGTCCCTTTTAGTGGCTTATCAAGAGCGGGACAACTGAAGATAGGGTTTTAAAAATTTCAGTTGTGGAGGGAAAAGTACCTAGAAATAGCTCCTTTGGTGTCCAAGAAACCTCGAATTGGTTTCTACCTGTAGAATCATTTTAGGTGACCCGTGTACAAGGCTGGAATGGATTTTCCTCCCGACTATATAAGCACAGTGGTCAGCAATAGTCCCTAAAACAGTACAGGATGGCCTCTCTGAGCTGGGCATGGAGCTGGGAATAAAATGGCAAACAACAGAGTCCTGTCCCCTCTGAACTTCCAGGCTGAGTGCACAGGGAATTTCTGCTCTGGGGGCATCTACCCCAGTCCTGCCCCAGGCTCAGAACAGGTCATGACAGCATTTTAGGGCCATATTCAAATGAGCACACCATTAAACTGTGTGCATTTTTACTCCCGGACCGTAGAAATGCAGTTTACCCTGCTTATTCGTCCCAGTGTTAGATAAAAATCACATTTGGATGTCCCGGACATTGGCTTGGCGAGGAATGATGTTAGAATGCAGCCTCCGTGCGCAACAATGACAGGAAACCATCGCTTTACTGCTTACTAGTTAGTGGGGATGGTAAAGAATTCTCTTTTTGATTTTCCAAAAAGGCAAGTTAGTTCCATTTTTACTGAAGACCCCCCATCAGCTTGCGGATGCATTGCTAAATAAGACGGTGTGTGTCAGCAGGTGATTCTGAGGCACTGTATTTCTCCCCAGCCTCTGCACACCTGCTCTCCTCCCATAAGACCCTGGCTTCACGGTGCTAAGAAGATAAAGTGATAGGATGTGTGAGCCCACTGAGCACCGAGCCTGGTGTGCACACAGGGGCACTATGTTGGATGGCTTTGAGTGTAAATATCTGGGCCCCCTTTTCTCTTTCGATTTGAGAGCCTTCCGCGAAACCCTTGCCGGGAGCCCCAGGTTCGGAAGCAGCATGCCGTGTTTAAACCGTTTAAACACGGTTTAAAACCCGAGCTGCCCGCCAGGCTACGGAGCAGCGCTGCCCCAAGAGCCCCCCTGTGCCCATCACAGATGCCCTGGGGAGGGTCCAGGCTGTGTCCCCCTCCCCCTGCAGCCCTGCATTCCCCAGGCCCATCTGGAAGTGCTGCCCTGCAGGGAAGGTCCAGGGAACAGAGAGGGAGACTGAGTTGCCCTCAGCATCTTCTTTGTAAGTGCCAGAATGTGACTTTTTGGGAAGCCACAATGAAGTGCCCCTGCTTTATCATCCCCGATGGCCCCCTTGCCCTTCCTCCCCTCTGGGTCCCTTCTTGCTTACGTGTCCAACCACTGGAGATGGTAGAGTGCTGACCAGCTGCAAACTGAGGACAAGCTAAGGGGAGATTATTTGAGGACCAACCTGTTGGGGCTGCATTTTCTAGTGACCGTCCTGCAGGTCATTCTGTGGTGGCTGGTGGACAGGAAGAGACTCGCTCTTGCTCTGGAAAAGGGTGCCAGGACATCACAGGGAATACGCTGAGCAGGAAGTGTGGGTTTTGGCTTCCTCCTTCCTAACCTCCTGCAGATGGAGCGACCAGCGAGCGAGGGCTGCCCCGCCCGCCCCATGCCCCTGCTGGATGGTGAGCTCCATGTGCTCAGTGCACACAGTGCCTCCCCAGTAGCAGCCTGTTGCATCCTCATCTGTCTCGGAGCTTTGCGAAGAGACCTCTGGCTGCAGGCTCTGCTCACCCCATGTCGGCTTTGCGGTCCACAGTGGGCCATGGCACTAGCCAGGGGACGTCCAGGGAATTAGCTGCCTCCAAGAGAAGCAGGTGCCCCGGGAGCCAGAGGAAAGCAGCTCTCGGTATTTTGCGTCCTGATGCAGAGTTTTCTGTTCTGTTTCAGCACTGGCAGTTGCCACTGGGCCGGAGATTTCGCTCTTTGAAGATGTGGTTTGTTTTTAGGATGTACGGAGTCAAGGGACTGCAGGCCTACATCCGCAAGGTGACAGTACTTTCATTACGTATCTGGGTAATTAATATCGGGAGGTCTTTAGGAGTTTAGAAACGAAGGAAGATGTCTGAAGCAGCAAATATCTGATGCAGGTTGGTTTGGGTACTGAGGTTAGGCTTTTTATTTTTATTATTATTATTATTTTTAAGGATTTTATTTATTTGTCAGAGAGAGAGAG